CACTAGCATAGCACGGACACATCACAGGTCTCACCAGAACACTCATAAAACAGGAACAACAGGGGTGTGCTTGCGTAAAAACAAAAAAAGTGGGGGAAGGTTTTGAACCAACACCGCAGCACCTTGTCCAGAAGATCCTGTCATAAAAAGAGATCATTGGTGCAGATGCAGAAGGTTCGATCAACGATTGATGCTGATGATAAGGCAAGGTATCCAGAACACGGCGTGCAGCCAATGCAAATGAGATTGAGGAGTGCCTTCCTGCAGTACATTTACCTCCCAATTAATCATACTTCTGCGACGGTTTCTCCATAAGGGATCTCAGTAGAGCCCGATTATTCAGTCTGAGCTCACGGAATCGTGCGCACACGTCCGGCTGCGTAGTAAGTCACCCACGGTCCCGGTTCAAGGTCGTTGGAGCCAAGTAACAACAACGGATACACATTTGGAGTAATTCGCCAACTGGAGAATACTGGAAATCCTGATTCAGAAGTACTTCAAGTCTTTAATGCAGCTAAGAACGTGGAATTGTGCAGCAAAAGCAAATTGGCGAAGCTTAAGTACGACGCGGTGAAACCCTAGGTGGGACTTGATTTGAAGTCGATGTGCTGGTCGTTCAGGTGCTTGATCCGTGTCAACTGTTAAAATCCTTGCGGGTTAAATGATGGCGATTGTGTGATGGTTACGCCTCGCATTTCCTAGCGCCTTCTTATGAAATGTTGATTGTAAGTTCAAGACTAATTGCGGTGGCGGTGGTGTGCATATGCGCCGGAAAGCAAAACCTAAGTGTCATTCCACGAATTTTGCTGGTTTGGCAAAACACGTGGCCCCTGGTTGAAATTATTGCACCAACTAACACAAAAATTGTTAAAATTGAGAAAGACCACCAGTTATCGGAAACTCAGTCGAGCGTTCCGAATAGCACTGCCAATACCACCAAATGCCCTCCTCTGACCTCGGAAGACACCGAGGCCCATAAACTGTTGGCCAGCGATGAGGTTCGGTGAAAAGGCGAGCCACAGAAGCATTTCACTTACCAACGAAAGTCCCACCCGATGGAGTTGAATCGGATAAGGCGAAATGATCGCGGTACACAAATAATAGAAAGAAAGGAAGAAGAAGAAGGAGGAGACAGATATGCTATGGGTAAAAAACGTGTAGCCAGACACGATGATACCTCCTAATTAAGTCAGATTGCTGACTGATATTTTCGAGTCACGAGCGTGAATCACAGTGGTCAATCTATCTGGTTATCTTTTGTCGGAGTTTTCATTAGCCAACCCGTATTCTACATTTATTCCAAGCAAACATTTGCCTTCACTCTTTGATGATAATGTGGGACTGTTTGTCAACTTGACTACATTCCGAGAAAGAAATTCAATAAGAGATTAAACAGTGTGTGGTTACTGTTGTATACCAGGTAGGGGTGGTGACCTGGGCTCAAAGCATCGTTTCTTTACACAAGAACCACGCGTGGCAAGGCTATGGTCGCGAGGAGGCAAGTGAATAAAACGGTTTATGCAACATGTGGAACTCCTGGTTGCCGTTGATAGTCATCTAGAAATTGCTTATTGGACGAGTGGCGTGAACAAACTACCACAGCGTTGAGCCTTCACTGCTTACCGTAAACTGACCTCGTTTGTTTTATAACAATTCATACGCATTTTTAATCGTTCTGAACTGTCTTTTCATTTTACTTCTACGTACTCATAAACGAGTAGTGTTTACACTTTGCGCTGTTAAGGCGACACAGCGTCCCAATGACAACCGCCAGTAAGATGACCAGAAGCGACAATTTACAAGTGTAATTAAAGCCACCCACATTTTGCAGCCGACCAAGTTCACGTTAAGGTGTGCGCGTATATGTGAACTACCCATCGTCACCAACAAATACAACTGAACTCAACGAAGTATCGCAACGAAGCGTTTCTCCGACGCAAGTAATCGGTAGACTGTGGCAAGTGAATTGAGTGTCGGATTTGAGACAAACTTGTCAACAACGATTCTGATGCGCGCAAAGGTGTAGCTGGAAGAATGATGCGGAAAAGAGCTCATAAGGGTTCTCGGACAAGCATGGTTGCTTCAGCCCAGGACAGTTAAACGGCACACTAGCCCAAGAGAGATTACCTTTTAATTACTTTGCTAGAAGGAGGAAAAAGGGACAGCAATGTTGGGTCGGAGAAGGCGGCATTTTAGGTTGCTAACCGACACGGTTGTGAGGTCCTTCCTCTTAAAATCAACAAATTGGGAAAAAAGCGGAGGATTTTTTCGTTTTAATGAAGAACGTGTAGCGAACGACACGATGGTCTCGTCGCCATGTTGCGACACTGGTTCTCACGAGAGAGGGGCTGAATTTAGAATAACGTAAGGAAACATCATCAGGCTCTTAGGACACCAGCAGTAGTCTAGAATGGCATTTGACTCTCACGACAATCATTTAAGTACTCCTGATCTGCCCCTCGCTTACAAGACGGCCGAGGTAAATAACATTTTTGCGAGTCTTGCAGTGGAAAGATCAGTCGGTCAAAATAAGGCCCGTGTTTAAGCTTAGACTGTTGACAAACATCAGCATTGGACCGAACCTAGTGCGCGCAGCTCAGTTTGTTATTTAAGTGTCAGGTGAGAATGTACATATCTTCGACCGCGATGCCGTTCGAATAGCCGCGAGTTATTTTCACGATGCGTAAATTGAAAGAAGAGCCTTTAAAGACTTTCAACGCTCGGGCGCCCCTCTGATGTAATAATAATGCCTGCATTAGCACTCAGAAAGTCACCTACTGATACTACAGCGAGTGTAGAGAAGATGAAGGAATAACATGATTCATAGAAATAATCTGCGCTCAGTTCAAACGTTTCTATAGTGAAATTTATGGAATTCCATTGGCGTTCGAAAATTACAAAACAACTGTAGAAAGACTAGTTGGCTTTTAAAATCACAGAAAATTGATTCGTTTTTTTAAAAATGGCAGATTTGATGGACTTATGCCTGGGTAATGGGATCTGCTACTTACCGGAAAAAGAAGTTAGGCAAGGGAAAATCGAAGCACTCCTTAGTAAGGTAAAAAATGAAGCAGTGTAATTGGACTGCGGCTTTGACGAATGAAGTCTCACCAAAACAAGAAGATACGCTCGACAGGACTCGAATGCCAGTCACGGGAAAAGCATATTTGGACACGCTACTAAGTTAGGAGTAGTTATGACATTGCGTTACTATAGTTACTAGGGGTACATGTGAAGTGAGCAGTGCGAAATGTTCCGACTCGAACAAAGTGGAAGTTTGGCCCACGAATATCTCAATGAATAAGCAATGTGTTGGGCTGATAAAGTTGAAAAACGAGGTAACCAATTGACCACGATGGCGGTGGTGATATTGAAGAGGAAGATGAGGACGCACAAACCTAGGCGGTACGCATAGCTACTAGTTATTGTTGAAGAATGTTTCAACGCAGGCGAAAACAAAGACGCCAAGGAGGAATACAGAAAACAGGAACGAAAAGATTGAATTCGCGAATACTTGTGTCATATTCACACGACATACATGTACGCAAAAATAGACGCCGCTTGTTTGCTAATTCACCATTTTCCTGTCCAAACGAACAACCGGAGATCGATTGCTTGAAAGCAAAAGTGACGACGCATACTGCCCAGCTCAACGAGCGAGCCGGATCAGCAAGACGGGTGATAAAGCAGATTGTAGGATAGAAAGTATGAGAGAGAGAGATAATGAAGGGGGCTAACGGTATTCAATAAACTTTGACTTTTCGTGCGGTTTGTTATTTACACCTGAAACAACCCTGAAGAGGACGTTTCTCAGACCGTCTTCTTCCCTTCCATTGGAATCTTCGAACTACACGCCCCAAGGTGGATCGGTGTGATAGCTGCGCGAATGGTGGCGAGGTGGAACGGTTCAAGGTAAACGGATTCATGGAGGTTAACGAACGCAGCCGACACGTCATTCATCGAAAGGCCAACGATATCAAAGGACATGCGAGGATTTATGTGAGCAAAATTTGTGAAGCTAACCCAACGGAGATGTTAGATATGTAAAGGCCTGGGGGAACAGAAGGGAAAGAAAACGGAGCACGCTATTCCGGAGGAAAAGGAGGAAGCGAAATAAGTATCGGCCGATTGATGTTACTGGATCCGCGTGACCGACGAGCCAGGTGAATTTGAAAGACAAGGTTTTCAACTTCATGCAACGATGAAGTCTTGAATGCCGACCGAATACTGGTGATTGTAGAAATGAAACGCCACCGAAAAAATGCCCATTCAATGGCTAATGCAAGCATATTCATTCCTATGAGGGATCATGTAGAAGCCTTCCAGTTACGCTTTTTATGCAGAGAACCGCGAACCTAGGCCCCTGGAACGACGATACAAGATGTTGATGCGACTGAAACATTCGGTTCAGACATCTTTTGCAGACAAGGCCAGACAGGGCCAGTTCAAAATAGCATTTTAGGCTTCTGGCTAGGTACACATAGCAAAAAATGACACCGTATTACATGTCTGACTTACTGTGCGGAGCAAACCTTCGATCCGGGAAGTAGCTTTAAGTTCAAATGACAAACAGAATTCACTTGAGACTACACACTCCGTTTTTGATCAGCTAAATGACAAAACCTTTGTTAACAATCTGCGCAGAAAGAAGGCGCGAATTTTTGTGAAGCAGAACAAACTTCAGAAAGTTGCATTACACAAGGAACTGCTAATTTGAATTAAAGACGAACAGATCATCAGCATTGAGGTGTATTAACGCAGTAATTTCACTCGTTGAGTAACCACACATAGGCGAAAGATTTAAGACCAAAACTTGTTTGGTTGTCCACTCTCTCCTTCAATGCCTATTTCGATCACACTGGGCACGAATTTTCTTGCGACTTCAGAGAAAACAATTGGCCTAAACTGGTGTTTTACTTCACAACGGAACGAAGAAGTGATAAAAGTGAGCTGACTGGTCGTCTCTACACAGAACCTTAACGTTCCCGCAAACTAAACGGTCGTTTTCACATTCGGAAAACAATAACTATAGACAGGTCTAGCAGCGATGTCCCATGAAAGAATTAAGGGAAACATAAAAAAACTTGGTTACACCAACTCAGAACAGACAATTTCGCATTCCAATGCATGAAAAGTCAGAACGCTAATGCATATGCAAATCGCATATGCGAATTGCAAATGTAGCATCCTAAAAACGGATAAATAAGTAATACTGAAAGGTGTAATTACTGAGAGAACGAAGTAGACTTCAATGTGATTATAAGAAAAGGAAAGAATCAATTAGACAAGTCACATGTTTGCTTCATTTCTGAAGTAGACTATTAAACGAGGGAAGAAGGCTGGACGGGGTTTGGCAAAGTGGATTAGAGCAACACATGCCACTAGTAATATTCGCACAACCACGACTCGTTAAGCCGGGAGTACCGTCGGACTAGTACAGAGAAGTAGGCAATACGCGGCACTCAAACTCACCTCAATACTGGAATCTTCACATTGCTATACACTGCTGTATCGACAACTTCAAGCTCTGCAGTGGGTGACTTGAGCGGTACCGCACGCCACATAGGGCCAGCAGTGGCTCCGAGATTGAAAGATTTGCTCATTTTATCCCCCCGTCTGTCAGCAAAAGGTGGTGGCGGCAGGGGCCGATGCAGGAAAGGGGTGGGGGACACCGCTCGCGTCGGAGAGGCACAAAAACTAGTCACCGGACTCCTAGGGCCCCCAAAAAAGACCGACGACGTGGGTCTGCTGAGGGGCGCGATGCGGGGAAGCCGGTCGACCGGCCCGAACGCGGGGGCTTGGTGGTGTGGGGTCTGGGGGTGCGCTCCAGTCGTCTCACCATCAGGCCAGTATATGCCCGGCGGAGCGGAGTTGAATTCACTCCGGTCCGACCGACTGTTTGTGCGCCTTACCACGCCGGCTTTCAGACGCTCCACCTGTGCGGCTGTGTAGGTCCCCTCGCCGTACTCAGGGATCCTTGGTAGAAACCCAGCATTGGGTGACTGATAGTTAACCTGCTCGTTCGCCACGGGAAACACCTCCTCCTCTACCTGGCCCCTCGCGATGCGAAGCGCCTGCTCGAGTGAACTCACTGTCGGGGCGCTAGTTTTGTGGCTGGGAGAGAGGGTCCTAGTGCCTGACTCGGCGGGTTTTTCTGTGTTAGAGGCAGCCGCCGACGAGTGCCTACGCCAAAAGACCTGAATGAAAGACTTGATTGGCTTTGTTGCATCTTCGGCAGAGCCTTCACGGCGAGACTTTCGATGCTTCTTAGACGAAGAAGATCCGTGCCCGAGGGCCATTTTGCTTGGGTGTGAGTGTGTTGACAATGTGTGTGTGTGTGTGCTAGTCGTTATTAATCCCAAGTGTCATCGTGCTCTGCGCGTTACACAGACGCGCGCGCGCCTTCGCGAATTTTTGTGAGGGTGCGTCGGTGCGTGTGAATTTCACTCGCATGCACATCGTTGGCGCGTGCCAGGAAAGCCATAAGCCAATCAAAGCACAAGGATGAATGAAACCGTTGACTGACGCGTCAGTGGCTACAGCAATCACCGCCCAGGCACTAACAATAGCCAATCAACCGCGGCAAAGTTCAAATGTACGGCTAACGCCACATTATAACAAGTTTTCACGCACTTTGCGAAGAAGGCTGGGCGGATTTACGAAAAAAAGGAGGAGAGCGCGACAAGCATCCATTGGGGTTCCAGCAATTTGCAACGTTAAATAATCACCTTTCCAAAAAAAGGCGAGACAGCTGCGGCATAATGATGCTTAGAGCAATTATGTCACGCATCATTAAGCAGTGATGGCATAAAGGATAATAACTCAATTGGTTCAATTTTTGCAATTACCGTGACCCTGGCCACTGGCATATTCAAGGGCCCAACCATGCTTTTCAACACCACACCAAAATGGGTTAATCGGATCGGCGAATACTCCCTAATCCCTAATCACACAGTCCACAGTAATTCCACACTGTTCGTATCTTCACCTTTGCCGCCGTGTTCTCATCACTTCGCGTCTTTCCATTCTTCTCTAGGGTGTAGTAATTACACCATAGAACTTCGATCAATGGTTCGAGACCCGCGTAATAAAATCAGTAACTTAAGGAAGTGGTGTTTATGCGGTGGGATCGATTAAAACAAAGTGTCAATAGCTAAACCGCTATTTTAGAGTAGACCCCAGCAATAATGCTTCACGGCATTATGAAGGAGTACATCGACTGAAATGAGTTGATTATCTGAAAGATGGTGGACCCTCAACACTATGTTGAAAATAGCATTTGGTGTGGTTTGGCGGCGAAGCCTGGAACGATTGCCAAGGCCTACGCTGAGGTTTAACCGCTTCGAGACAGAAGGCTGCTCAAATCCTACTCGATGCATCAGCAAATGATTGGAGTTTGGTCTACAGCTAAACAAAACAGGCAGAATAATCACTAGCCATTATCTGTGAGACTCGACGTGGTCTGTAATTATCCTGGTGACAAAACAGCCAATTGGATGGCTTCATGGAGTAGAATTAGGGCCCACAACTGGTGTTTTTAGTTATCCCAGAATTCGCTCCTCACGCAGTTAGCCGGTTGTGCAAGCGATAAATTCATTTATAGGTGTCGCCTCCGATGACAGCCAAGGTTAAATGCGTGTCAGTTAGTTCTGGCACACAATGGGGTAAAGTCCAAGGACAAAAAATTCTTGTGAAGTATGCTATGGGAGTTTTAGCACCTCAGTATGTGCTTTTTAATGAAGAGTGTGCCTTTTAAGCTAGTAGTAGCAGTAGTAGCTACTGTTGACAGAATCACCAATCAGGATCAAAATAACCACTCAAATTTGATTGGACCGAATCAATGTAGCCTGAAAGTACACAACAGCTCTACGAATATGAATGGTTTACATAGACACTGAGAGCACATGACCACCACAAATACTTCTGATCGAATTGCCAGCTCTCAGAAGAAAAAAAGAAAAGTACTAGTTACCCCGAAACACAGACTTTCAAGTTAAGGCAGCAAATGATATTTAAAAAGACGGAAGAACATGAAAGATGACATGTCTCGTGGAAGGGCTTTTTTTTCAGGAGGATACGAGTTCAATCAAATCTGATTGCAGGAGGCAAATGAAGATAAATCGATTTCCGATAAATCAGGAGAAAGTCTGCGACTCAACAACGCTGAAAACAAAGCAAGCCAGCGTATAAGCGACCAGCCAATGAAAATGAAGTACGTAGGAGGTGGAGGGGACTCCAGACAGACGATGCATCCACTAGACAACTCAAAAACTTCGATCGATGGCACCAAAATCAATAGCAAGCAACTCAAATGTTGACGAGTGTTGGTAAATATGACGCACGGATTCCCCAGAGTTGGAGGTCATCACAAGCCACAGGAATAAACAATTGTGTAGTCATTGCAAAATTACGACTTAGATACACCCATACTCTTGAGCCAATTAGGACAGGTTTGGCAAAAGTGGTGGCGGAAAGACTAACAGCATCTCCATTTTGAATGCTCGACAGTTAGATGGGTTTTATGACATACTAACTTTATGAGTGTGGTGCGACAAGGAATCTTCTGTGATGGCGCTTGTGTGGGACGAGTATTAACACGATTGAAACAAGTTCAAAATAATCATGCTACTCACAAAGCATCAGTACACCTGATAATTATGTCAAATATATGTGAGGTGAAGTGAAACTTACTCAAATTTTGGATTGTTGTGGGAGGAAACGTCGCGTGAATTGGACAAGCTCGATGACCCCGAGTCCTGCTCCCACCAACAACGTGCACCATGACTGTTGGTACCGCTTCTTCGACCATTCACAGCAACGAATCCAGAAGAACCCGAGGCGTCCCTTAGGTGATTGTTTGCATTCAGCTTAAGGCTGTCAGGAGAATCTACAAGGGGAGAGGTGACAAAAGCATGGAATAAATACAATCGAAATTGCCCGACACTGCGCCAACGTTGAATGATACATCCTCGCTCCGTTCACACAATTACTTTCTTGTCACGCCACCTCGATCATGACAACTATAACAGCAACCATGGCCACAATATTTTTGTGCTCAAAATGGCAATTTTTCAGCCAGTGTTACACTGGCTTGCGTTAGACAAGAAATTCGCTTATTGGTTCACTGAGAGAAGGCATAACAGTACATTGACGGGACCAGAGCTTGATACCTTGCGTCGCACAATAAATTGTCTCCCTCTCTCTCCCTCTCCCTCCCTCCCCCTAGCCCAAGAGTCAATTCAGAATGTCGGGGGCACAATATGGGGCTGACGACGACTAGAGGGCAGTGAATAAGTGCATTGCAAATTAGGGCGGCGGCGGCGACTCAAGCACGCCACATTTAGCCGAGTGACAGATGCTATCGGTAGGCAGGTTGATTCACAAAGCCCGGCTTCTCCAAGGGGCGTGCAGGCTTCTTTTTTTGCCTAAGCCCAGTTTTCCGGCTTTGTTAACACGCACAATTGACATCCGCCAGAACACCAATGGATAAAAAACGATAACACCAATATGCAATTTATCATGCAGAACGAGAGCATTGAAACGAAGGTTTGAACCGGGCTTAAATTGCGCGATAGCTTATCACCACCAATTGAAATTCAATATCCAGTAGGAAGGGTTGTCTTGACCAATCAAAATTCTGCTGCCAATGTTAACCAGCACCACGTTTGGTTTGGTGTGGGGGCCTTTGTTTACTGTTACACAAGCAGTCATGCGTTTTGATTTGCACCAGAAGCAAGAAAGTTTGCGCTGTAGGCTCTGTTAATGGTGCAAGCGTAATTTAGCCAAATACCGGTCTTGACGGTGCTGTTGTACGAGGCACAAAAAAACAGGTGGAAGGTGGATCCCGATTCAGCGCGTGCACACACACACAACCAGTCCTCTCAATCCATACGTTTGGCAGCTCGCCAAGCAAACTTTTTCCTGCGTCTAGCTGCTGACGGTCAACAAACCTGGTCTCGTTTTTTGAGGACGACTTTCGACTGCTTCTCGGGAAAACGAACTCATAAAAGGGATTTAGAGGATGCTGAACAGGCGGCCGGGGGTTGGATTTCGTCGCTGGTGGAGAGTAACATTACCAAATTTGAAAAATGGAGCTTTGACGGGCCTAACGCGAAACCTGCGGTTGAATGTCACAAATTGCGAAGACCTCGAATGTTGCTGCCTTGTAGGGGAAATGGACGACACGCACTAATGTTTTTTGGCTTTGAAAGAAAGACGTTTCGATGGCAACCTGAGAAATGTTCGTGCAAACTTCACATTTCATTCCGATTACACATGTCATGGGCTGGGCGCTTGGCTGTGCAAGAAACCTGTCGAATTGAGATTGACACCCGTATCTACCACGCGTTTTCTAGAACAGGGGTAACGCCACGTTACCAAATTTGTGTCGACCGGATGCAATTTTATCGTAAGCTAGCTAACCCGCTCGACAAGACGATTGCATATGGGTCGGCGATAACGTCGTAGTGTTTGCCTCATAGTTGTGGGCTTACATAGTTGCAAAAACACCACGCTCAGCGTCTGTATTGAAGAAGGGGAACGACTTCGACACAGCATGACCAGCCCTATAAATGTTTCATTACACCCGGCAAAATCACCGTAAACGCACAGCGGTTAAAAAGCCTCGGAGCGTCACGTGACCATGGGTGGGACCAGGCCGTTTGCGTCAGCTGCCGGGGCATTGTCTACAACAAACCCGGTTGATACGCCGGTTTTAATTACGGCCGCCCCCATAGAGGGATGACGGTGTGCGTGGCCTGTCCCATTTGGCAGTCCGTTATGCGGCCTGCGATGACGGTGTGTGTGTGCACGTGGACTCTTTTCAAGCCCGACTCCTCCTCTAAGTCCCACCACCTCCCGCCGCCCGCCCCCCAACGACCAGCAAACAGCAAAAGCCTAGGCTGCGCGTGTCCCACACGGTGCTTGTGGGGGGCACGCGTGTCCCACTGAGTCCGTTGATGGGCGCTAGAGCAGAGCAGATGGGGAGGCAAGGGAGTGTAGGGCAGCACAGAGGTGGCGGGAGGGGGAGAAGAATGAATAGGTGCCAAAAATGTCGCGGCAGACACTGGGAAAGTGGAAACGAACACCACTAGGAGGCAGAGGGCGAACGAGGTAAAATTCGACGGTAATACTATTAAAGTGACGGAGTGGCACGTGCGGATGCGGATGGCTTTGGTTGGATTGCTGCACACACTGACGTCAGTTGTGGTCGCGGCCAAACTTGTTGTAATTAAAAACTCGGTTGGATTGCTCTGGCGCGACAATAAAAGAATTTACGATGGGAAAACCGCTGACAATAAGCCGGGGAAGATGACAGGGAAAAGATAGCCTACTCAGATGGTGGGTCAGGAATGTGGAAGAGCAGTACGAGGAGTCGGAGGGAATGAAGTAAAGTAGCCTATTCATTAGATACCAGGATTACCTAACGTATTTATATCGCCAACGCAAGAATAAACATTACCCTGAGGACTAGCCGCATGGTACGACTCTCTGTGGTGCTCAGTGTCGCAGTAGATTGTGGTTGCGAGGCTGGCCCTACGGAAGGCGGACTTCTTTGGGGAGCAGCCCCTGCGTTTTGCGTCACAGGGCTCGTTGTAAATCGAGTCGCCACGATCCGAAGTTGTTGGAGGTGCCACGAAACTCGAGGGGTGATGGTGGTAATGATGCGCCCGCGAGGGATTGTAAGTAGAGTGACGATTGATCGCTGTGCCTGGAGGTGGATCACTCAGGCGCGGAGGGGTGATCTTCCGCAGGATCGACGGAACCGACTCGCTGTGGTCGTTGAAACCAAACGACTCCTGATACTCCTCCTCCAAAATTGTCTGTGCAAAGGTGGAAAAGGAAGGATAATCGAGGGAATCGTATTTACATCAAGAATTACTGGAAAAAACTCCCGACTTGAATTGGGCCCTTTAGCCAACGGGATCAGAGGTCTTGAAACATGAAACGGACACAGTTTAACCAAGAAACGGACAATAAAGCGGATTCAATGAAGTAATTTAGGCACTCATGGGAATAAATCAGCGTAGTTTGACCGAACTCCGTGGTATTTGCATTCTCAGATGATTTCCAATCAGAATCGTGCACACAGAAAATGTCTTTCAACAAGATAGACCCTTTGGGAAAACAAAAGTTCAGCAACTGGGCAGTCATAAAAAAGCTCCCGTGTCAGAATACCGGTTGCACATTTTTCTAAATCCCTAGAACCTCGCCCCTTGGTCTCAATTCAGTAGTTGACTCGTCTTAAAGCCATTTCAGTGGAAAATTCGTACTCCAAATTGTGTTTTGCGATGTCTAGTCGCTAATAAGTCAAAGGCGATTGCGGCGGCGTTGGTAACGTGATTTTAGGTAGAGACGCGCGAAATAACCCAAAAATATATTATTCCTAGACATACACACATAGGGAGTGCGCAATGAGCGACTACGAGCTACGAAATTCGCTCTCGGGGTGGGAATATTAATGTTTTTTGAATACAAATTTCAGCGAGACAGGAGTGGATCACGTGAGGGGTGGTAGATTGGCTAGAACCGGCAACCAGAGTTGCGGCCAGAGTTACCAGTGAACGAGGTGGTGGGATAGCGCAGAATTCGCCCACCACACGACAAAATTGTTCACGCAAGGATTTTAACTGACTAGAATAACATTCAGACGATGGCGTCCGGCATTCACTTGCCGTCACGTGGTCACGTAGGCAGTCGGTGGCATTTTGCAGTCAAAATGAAGAAGTGCTAACTAATTACTTATATTAACACAAGAATTTGGTGGTTTGTGTGGCGCTAATAATTGTGGAAGTGACACTGCCTTAAGACAGACACAGGGAATTTATTGTATTAGGATTCATCTAGAGACAGACATTAAGGCCTACAATCACCGTGGACTTGACACATTTAGAATAGGTCGCTGCATGTGTTTTGCATATTGCGATTTCCTTCACCTGCAAAACGTTACTGAAAACCAGCGGTACATACTTCGTGTTTGGGTCACAGAAAGGACTTTGATAAACGCATCCCGATTTCAGGGCATAAAAAGTGATGATAACGTGGTGGTTTCTTGTATGTACGGACTCATCTCCGCCAAACAGGCCAAAATGCAAAGTCACTCTACAAAGCACACCAACTACGCATCGACGAGGGAATTGGAACGGAATTGGAATGCCGTGGATACGTATTGTTCGCCCCTGGCGTGTGACAATTACAAAAGCCACCAAAGGAGGCGAATTTTCGCCCCTACCGGCGGTGCGGATTGGACACCCAAATTACCCAGCGTGCCCACAAAACCGCGTCAGGCAGGCAGGCAGGCGTTGCCAGAATCTAGTTAAACAACACGTGCAGCGTCGGACAAGAAGTTGGGCGAGACGCTAATTAGAGCAGCTGCAGAGATATATTACCAAAAAAGCACAAATTGGAATGCGGTTGTTGTGGACGAGAGAACAACTTCGGATTCAGGTTTCTCACACGAGGAATTTCTTCCGCCACGCTGAAAGTGCTCCGAGAGGCGGAACTGTTAATGTGCGGCTTAGCTACAGGCTTGGCTCGAAGAGCGATGTGTGAATGCACCTCGTCTTAGATGGGGAACAACCTGATGCATTCAGATTGCACCCGACTCCAACGAAGCACAAATGGCAAATTTACTTTTGCGCAAATGATAAACTAAACTGAGTAAAAAAATGTAAAAAATATACATCCATACCTCCAAAGGAATTGCGTTACACCTATGCCTGTAATTACCCGATATGAAACTGATCGGTGGATCCATGCAATCGCTCACAAATATTCATTTACAAACAACGATAGTTAAGCCGTTTCACCGGACTTTTTGCGTCCGGTAAAACGTTGATTCAACACTTGTTTATCTTCTTAATTTCCTCAGAATTCATTAATTTTGCATGGACACAAGCCAGACGTTTACTGTGCATTTCAAAAGAGTCATTTCATTGGTTTTTTTTGTACTCACTTGTCGGAGAGTAATTCCAGAAAGTTACAAAATGTCAGGGCGTGTTTGATGGTAATGTGTGTAGGTGGAAGGTACTGAACATTTGCACTTAAAGCCGCCTAATGGCACGGTTTTGTTTCGTAGTTTTTTTCCAATTCATTGTTTACACATTAGCATTGGAACCATTCAGTTCCACACAAACTGGCCTTGACATTTGGTAGACGCCCAATGCTCTGCGTGATTTTCGGTCCGTAATGCAAACATGAGGATGAATTAATCGCAATCGAGGCACGTGAACGAAGGTGTCACTGTTTCACGAAACGCCGATTGTATTTGAATTTTACACGTGTTTCGCTGTATTAAGACACGGTTCAGACACAAAAATGCGATTCATGAGACCACGGAATCATCGGTTTTGAATTTACCGATGTAGAACGATGTCCAGGGGAAGATTGCCAATAGAAGTCCTTGTTTTGAGGGATTTGTTGCAAAAAATTATCAGCATTATAGATAATCGAGCCACGAAATTGTAGATGTCGTTAAAACGCGACCAAGTGCTAGCTTTACACACAATTTCTGGCTTATTAAAAAAAATGCAACGTTTTGACCGAGTTTCGGCCGGTGCAATATAAAAAGAGCTGAGAGGACCGAGCTATGGGAGAGGGTGATTAGTCAGCTCTGCGGTGCATCGGTTACTTTAGGGAAGAGAAGTAGACAGAGGGCAGCTCCGATTCGGGACAGGCGCTGACGGTGCCAACGAGAAGCAGGTGCTTCGGACGCATTCGGTTGAGGGCTACTCGATAGTTGTTGGCGCAAATAATACATCTGGCGCCGACTTAGTGTTATCGCAATACCCATGCGCATGCAGGTGGACGCTGTGCGCAGTGACGCGCCGGTGTGAGTAGGACACACGCGCGCACACATGACTGGGTTGGACACGACGACTAGTGATAATGGCAGACAAGATAGTACACGCGGTTGGGACAAACTTGTGCCTGTTCTGCATCTGTGTGGCCACGGGGATTAAGCCTTTCCTGACGTACCATGAAGAGTTTGAACTATCTAGCTCGAGTAGAGTAAGAAGCACGTTTTAAACCCGGACCGAGGGGTCTACACAAGGAGCTACTTTTCTTACAAGTGGGCTGGGGAGGTGGTGTACAGGACAGCTGTTTGTGATCGCTAGTCAGGACCCCTTCTTTCTGGCTAAGTATCAATGCGACAATGAACAGTATTTTTCGGTAAAAAAAAGTCTAAAGAAGACATTTGAAATTAAGGCCGTCCAACTGGTCATTATCTATGCATAAACGCGATAAAATCCCACACGCACACACACAACCCATCGGACACGCTACGTGACTCAGCCCTCACCTCACGCACGCAGAGCTCCGTGACATGGACGAGCGATATGACAGTGGAAACCCCTTGATCCACTCGCTTTATTTACTCTCGTACTAAGGCAGAACGCCTTGTAACCCATCTCGGGCTCGCGACGTTCTCATAGCCACGGGCAAAAAGTTGCCAATGCTGTGGCCAATTAACACATCGCACTGTGATGATTGTGAGGGGACAACACAAACAGCAACAACAACCAGAACCTCCGTGCAGCAATCTGGCACGGCGTGGTACACAAAATTATCTACGCAGTAGACGACCGCTTCCACAATATCTTAATGGCTAGCATTAAGAGTTGTAATAAGTACTCCTGCAGGAAAAAGGTTGACAGCATTTTCGGAAAGTGGCTGAACGGCTGCGCCAGCGACACGCCCCTCACTGCCTCCACTACCAAACAATCTTATGGAATTTAGAGAAAAAGGTCACAACAATGCTATGGAGAAAATGAGGGAACATCCAACGCAGTCGAAGGTGGGGAGGGGAGGGGAAGGGATGATCAATCGGACTGGAGCCATCAAAATATCACGAAACAGGGCAGTAAGTAACAAGGGGTCAATCAAATACAAACTAACGCTATCAGTTGTTTAGATAGTGCTTCACAAGTCCTCTCTCAGATACAAATCCTGTGAAATAATTACGGATTCGAACTACATGTTGAATAAACGGACCTCGAGGTAAGGCAGTTTTTCATCAAGAGATCAAATTCGCTGAAACTACGGCTGGAAGGGACAATAAAATCCGATTACTCAAGTCCGGTAAAGCGAAGGGAGATGGCTGAGGAAGCAAGAAAGTGGCATTAATGAAGGATGACGAGGAGCAGAATGCAGAACAGCAAACAGAGTTAGAAAAATTGATAGCAACTTTAAAAAAGGGGAGAAAGTAGGTAGTGAGAGGAGGTTGGTCTGACGGAGAAAGCCCCAGAATGAAGAATAACAGCAGGGGCTGAAGGTGGGGGAGCAACATCGCTTCCACCTCCATCCACCTACGGTTGGGAGCACCTCGGAAGTGTGTGGAACAGTTAAAGGGGAAGGATATTGACGAGTTAACACATCAAAGGCCTTCAGACAAGGCTAATTACCTACGCAATTATGGTTGTCCGTGGCTAAATGCCACCGGCAAGGTGCATAGGCTTCCGCAAGACTACCTCGAGCGCTGAGTTTGCGTAATTAGTCTCCATTGGCAAACAAATTAAAATTGCTTGTGTCAGTTGGTGACTGGGTGTTTTGACCGACGGAAACAAACAAGACGCGCCGACGACACTTTTGACATAAAAGACCACGCAAAGATTCCTGAAAGCTGACTTGATGGAAAACAAATTCTGCTCGAAAAGAATTTGAAAAAAAAAAACTTTTTTAAAAGGTAAACACTACGTGAAAGAGGGCAGGCAACGTAGTCCGTCGCTCAGCCAGTCAAGGACACACGAGATTCACACACACAAAAAAATTAAACGGGCAAATAAATCGAGGGGCATCCTTTGCATGAGACTGCAGACCTCTCAAGGCCAAGGTGGACAACCATTTTGGTAGTCTAAATAACCACACTAGTGTGCCCAAGGATTTGTTAGCCAAGAGGGAGCGCCTGAGATTGTGCAGCTTTTTGATCCGTCTCTCTCGACTGACGGAATCCGCGCATTAGCGTGGGTTGTCAACACCTATAAGAATGGGAGTTGAGGAACCCCAAAATCTTTCTTCACAATTCAAAGCACGCCGGAATGCTCGTGCGTACTCCGAGTGCCCTGGTGGAGAGGCCTATCGCTGTTGTAAAGGCTCGTCGGGGACAGGGGGGCGTTCGAGACAAATCCCAGGCAGGGTGGAAAGGCAGAAAGCGCTGTAAACAGACAAGGTAGGTGCTGCGTCGAGCAATGGCCAGAAATTCTCAGGAAGAGAACCACATAAACAGATGCAACGCCAAGGCACGAGACGAGGGGCTCGGAAAAATGTGATTTCAGGTAAAAAGACAGATAAAGTGACTTAGAATTATTCACACCTAATGTGTGCAAAAAACACAAAGAAATTACCAGGAGAGTGGGTTTTTAACATTGCAGCCCGAAGGCGCAAACAACGCAAGCACCGAAGACGGTTTATTCGAAAAATGATAACCAAATAAGGTAACAAAGTCAAAGGCTTACAAAATGGCCGAACTTTACCTACAAACGACGCTTTAACAAATAATCAATGATCCAAACGCGAAAAAGGTTTCGAGATTTTGGCGGAACAAAGAGGGTTCAGGGGCATTGCTGCGTAAAAAGTGTTAATCACGATGCCAACAGGCCTGGTTGGCACAACAGCCCGATTTTGACCATTTTGTTTTAAAACAAAATTGCTTTTCACAGCAGGAAAACAACAATTACAAAATGGACGCAATTTACTCGTCAACTAAGCCTAATCAGTTGCGCGAGCGTTCAGCAAAAGTGTTTGACTCTGTAATCGAAACAATTTGGAGGTCGGGGATACAAGAGCTAGAAAATTTTCCAAAATTTTCGCTAGAAAATTTGAGGTCAGCAAAGGTGAAAAATAAATGAAACTGTAGGAAGCGGAAAAAAAATTGAGCAGAGCTGCAAATATTTTCAATTGTTTTAAATAACGTTGAAAAAGCGAGGTTATTCAAGCTTTTAAACACAGCAACAAGGCGATTTGATCTGTAAGGGTGATTTACCCGGACTAAAGGGAGTACTGACAGAAACATGCATCCTACATTAGAAAGACGATCACATTTAAATAATGCAGGAGGTTAGTGACTTAAATAAAGGGACATCGGTGAGTTAGTTTTCGTAGTCCTACTAACACAACTGCCGGAAAGAAACAGAAGCAAACTAGAGGAAGAAGGGGGAGTCGTCATTTGGGCAAAGTTAAAAATAATTTCCATATGGCGGGCTATTTCCTGGTCTTTATCTGCAAAGCGTGGGGAGCCGGTGTGAAGGTGCACCTCTACACACAATTGCGCTTTCCAGAAATAACTGGCCCCAGCACTGGACACCAGGAACTAAGCGAGAACTATTTGTCGTGTCGCAATGTGGTTATGAATTGAAAGCCCGCCTCAGGGTAAAAACAACACTTTTACCGCTGTTGCAAGAGGTTGTTTTGCCTTGAAAAAGGAATGAACGGAGGGTGGAGTGGAGGAGTGGCTTGTAAAGAAAAAAAACCCATCTGTCAGACAAGAGGTAAATTAGTGACAGGCAGCAAAACTTTATTGGATGTGCTGAACCGACACTTCCTGTGGGGCAAAAAAGTTGCATTAGTTTAGTTTTACTTCCTTGTTTTGTGTTGCAGTGGTTACCGGTGCTCCAAGTCGTCATTTTGGAAAATCGAAGGCCCGGTTCCACAATATCTGGAATCTGTAATGAGAATCACTAACACAGGTGGAAGCAAGCAGCTCCTTGCAAGCCAGAAAGCGTGACCGACAGTTTTCGCGGACATTCGTAAACAAAACAGTAAAAAAAACTTGGAGCATGTGGCAGAGGAGCAGACACAGAGGATGATAGCCAAGATAAATGGCTGCAAAGATTACCTCAGCGAAGGGAGAAATCTCCCAAGCACGTGTCTACTAATTCAGTGGTGTCGCATTGCGCTTGGTCTGAAAAAGTATTTATGGATACGAAAAAACCACAAGCGCAAAATAAGCACTTTGAGGTGTGACAGCACGAAAGCAACAGAAAACAACACGAAAACAACAGATTGTACCATTTGATGAGAATAACAGTCGATTTTAAAATAACCCACGATCGTAAATTTGAAAACAATTAGATTGTTGAAGTTGCCATCGCTCGAAGTTCACGAAAGTCCACAAGAAGAGCTTCAAAAGAGCTTGAAATCGCTTAAACCTAGATAGTAAAAATGCTGCATAACGCTCAATTAAGACAAAATCCTCCAGACTTGATCAAATCACTGAATGAAGACAATTACAGTTGTTATGAGAATTTCTTTTAAAGCTTTCAACAACTATGCCACTACCTTTGGGGCCTAGTTGATAAACACAGTCCATGTTAAAAAATCGAGAACTACTCAGCAACTTGCTACGAGGATGGTGGATTCCTGTACAAAACCCAACGAAGACCCTACGGGAGACGATGGCGCAAGTGATGTTACAGTAATGGTTCGCTTGACCGATAACAGGCGCTCTAACATAAACACTTTAACTAAATCACCTATTTCACAAAAATTGTGAGCTGAAATGCCAGACAAAAACCGAGGGTCTATGTGTCCGTGACACTATTTGAGGCGTTTTATTTTCAGAGGTTGCCGGCAAAATGCTTGCTCCTCTCACAAATTTTAACCTCGCACCTACAATGGATTACTAAAACCCTGATATACCTGCCAATTACAGGCAGTCTCATGTATCGGCAAATCGAAAACGAAGGCATAGCGCGGTTACACAACGAAGGCCAGGTGGCGTGGCACAATACAACAGCCACCTGGGAAGTTTTGTGTACTGGCACAAAGAAAACAACGAATAGATCCTAGCAACAGATTGCAGGCTTGTTTGAAACCACCATACATGGTAGAGTTCAAGAATCGTCACCTCTCATTTAGGTA